CACCACACGCAGTCCGTGTGTGTCTGTGTGTGTGTGGATGTGTGTCTGCGTGCGCGTGTGTGTGTGTGTGTGTGTTTGTGTGTGTGTGTGTGTGTTTGTGTGTGTGTGTGTGTGCGTGCGTGCGTGTGTGCGTGCGCGAGTGCCCCCATGCATGCATGTATGTCAAGCGTAGAGCTCAAGCTTCCATTCTGTGGGCTGCACCACTGCAAAAGCTAGGATCAAGAGCGCACCCCCCAAAGAGAAAAAGCCTGAAAACAGCATCCACCATGATCCCTCAAACTCTGGTCGCTGGAGAGTCTTATTGAAACCAGTCTGCCAAAAACGAAGAACCCCCAACCCCAACACTGAAACCTAATACTAAAGACCTGAACCCTAAAACCCCAAGCCTGAAATGCTAGAATCCCAAAGCCCCAATAGACCCGAAATCCAGAAGCCCCAAAACCTGAGAACGGCAAAATAAACGGGTCTACAGAATCCTAAAAATTGCTAAACCCTGGTCGAAGAACAGCAAACCCCAAAGCCTTGACAAGGTCTTGGTTCGCATCAACAAGCAGAGCCCCGACATCGCCGGGGGTGTGCACGTGGGCAAGGACCAGGGCTTGGGCTTTATTTCTGTTCGGGGGCTCTAGGTCTGTGAAAGGGAATCTTGTAGGTCTAAGGTCTGGGGCTTTTGCAAGATGTTACAGGATCTTGTAGGGTTTCCATGGCGTTTTCTTGCCTTGTCCTGATTGAAGAGAAGGCAGCCTACCCTAACAGCTTGGTCTAGCTCTTCAAGCTCTGGTAAGGAATTGCTTTGACAGCGCGAAGCTGTGGTCAGGGATCGGGTTCACGACTAAACGCCGAGTGCGCATGGGAACCGCACCACGAACTGTCAAGGCCTGGGCGACGATTCATGGGACGTTAGCGTTAGCTGATGGCAGTTTCGTTTCCCTTCAGGGCCTTCTTTTCACGTCACCTGCTACCTGCTTAACTGAGAGCTTCGGAAAATAAGGGATCCCGACAACACAGTCCAGGAATGAAGGATGCTTACTTTGAAGACCTCTGCAGACGGACCCCTAACTTTCGATTCAGAAGCACCAAATGAAGAGCAAGCTCGGTGTGCCGGCAAGATTTGTCCACAGGACGACATGGATGTCGGCGCCGGCGATCAGGGTATCATGTGCCTCGCAATAGTTGAAGGTTGTGGAAAAGCCTGCCCTAAACTGACATATCTTGCATCTTCTGTTCACATTCCGGGCGTCTGTAGGAGCACTTGGCATTGATACTTCTTCCATCAACATGGAGGTCTGCTTGCGTCTCGCGTAACCACATGACCCAAACACTAAAGTGCTTGTACTTCCACTCGAAAACGATGCCTATAGGCGACTTTAGGGCATTTCAGATTCAGAACCAGAACCAAAAGCCCTTCAATCACACAGCCAGACGAGATAG